AAAAATGAAAGTGAAGTATACACTGCATGTGCACAGTAAACATGCAGCAGCTGCAGCAACAGTTGCTGCTGCTCTCCCTGCTGCTGTTGCTGCTGCTAATGCTGCTGCTACTCAAGCCTACTGATCCTCCGCATAATCGTGTGTCTCTTCATTGGTGTTGTTGTTGTTGTTGCTGCAGCTGCTGCTGCTGCGACGAGTCAAGAGCTTCTGCTGCTGCAGGAAGCCCCTTGGCGACTTTCCCCATATGGAAGGAGAGTGCATGCAGCAGCTAGCAGCAGCAGCAGCAGCAGCTGCTGCTGCTGCAGCTCCCGCTGCTGCAGTGCTAACAGCAGGAGCTCCGAGGAAGCACGGAGGAGACACCCGCGCCAGAAGGACAGGCTGCGTCTGCATCAGAAGCTGCAGCAGCAACAGCAGCAACAGCAACAGAAGGTGCTGCTGCTGCGGACCTAAAACGTTCATGCTGCAGTCAATTCCTGCAGCAGCAGCAGCAGTGTCTGCTGCTGCTGCTGCTGTTGGTGTTATATCTGCTGCAGCATCAGATCCAGTTTTTGCTTTACGGTGAACGCCTGGAGAAGTAGTTGCATAGGAAGAGCCGCAGCAGCAGCAGCAGCAATTGTTGTTGCTGTTGTTATTGTTTTTGCTGCTGCTGCTGAATCAGCAAGAGCAGCTCAGGCTGCAGCAGCAGCTGACCCCACGGCTTCCTGGGGGCCCCTGAAGGCTGCAGCAGTGCAAATGTGCCTTCTCAGCATTGAACCGTGCTGCTGCAGCAACAGCTGCAGCAACAGCAGCAGCTGCAGCAGCAGCAGCAGAATCAGCTAGCAAATCGAGCGCAGAAAGGGCTTAAAGCAACTTAATTCTACACCTTCATCGTAATTGAGTATTTGCTGCAGTTATTTCAAACAAGGACGGGCCCAGGGGCCCCGGGGCCCCCTTTAGCGCCCACAGCAGCAGCAGCAGCAGCAGCAGCAGCAGCAGCGGTAGCAGCTGATTGTGTCTGCGCCTGGTGTAGTTATTCTGAGGCGTACAGACAGCTAAAATAAAAACAATTTGATTTGTCTTTATACTGAAGGGAAACATCACAGCCGCCGCCCCCCAGCAGCAGCCCGGCGATCCGCAGCAGCAGCAGCAGCAGCAGCAGCAAATGCAGCAACAACAGCAACGAGAGTGGGACGCAGCAGAAAGACCCTTAATGAAATTTAGTTGCAGATTATTCCGCGCTGCTGCTGAGCTCCTGCAGCACAGCTGAGGTGTACAGACAACTGAACTCGTCGGGCACTACAGCAGCAGCAGCAGCAGCAATAACAGCAGCAGCAGCTGCAGCAGCAACAGCTCGGCAGAAATGCCCAAGCAGCACCGCATGCGGAGGCACGACATCACACACATCGCCTCCCCGAGCAGCAGCGACAGCAGCAGCAGGGAATAACTGCAGCAATCAGCAGCAGCAGCAGGAGCAGCAGCAGCAGCTAACAGCAGCAGCACTCCCCCTTGGGGCGGCAGTTAGCGATTGCAAATTCCTCTCAATGCAGCATTGACAGCAGCAGCAGCAGCAGCATCAGACCAACAGCAGCCGCTGCTGCAGGACGAGAGCAGCAGCAAGTCGGCAGCAACTGCTGCTGATTTGCCGCAAAGGGAGCAGCAGCAGCAGCAGCAGCAGCAGCGGCTGCTGCTGCTGCTGCACCCGTGGCAATGTGGGGCTCCTCCCATCGAGATGGAGATGGAGAAAGAGATGACGACCTGAACCCCAGTGACGAAGCAATAGCAGCAGCAGCAGCAGCTGCTGCTGCTGCTGTTGCTGCTGCTGCCGACTCCGACAGCGACCGTTTAGACAGTGGAGATGTTTTGTTTGATGCGGATGCAGAGAGCGACGAAGAGATCGACGGTCTTCCGTTGGGTAAGTGCAGCAGCAACAGCAGCAGCAGCAGCAGCAGCAACAGCAACAGCAGCAACAGCTGCTTGCGGACTGCACGGGGCACTAAGCCAGAGGCTTGCTGCACGGTGGCGGCTGCAGCAGCAATATGGCTGTCCTGGTGGCAGCAGCAACAGCTGCAGCAGCAAGTTGGCTGTCCTTTTGATAGCAGCAGCAGCAGCAGCAGCACCAGGAACAGCAGCAACAACAGGTGTATGCACAGCTGATGCTTTGTGCTGCAGGCGGCGCCTTTGAGATGCATCCGCGGGTGGTAGGGAGGTCAGCAGACACAGCAGCAGCAACAGCAGCTGCTGCTGCTGCTCCCCATGAGCAGCAGCAGTTAGCTTCAGGGGGGGCCCTGGGCTGGATGCGGCGGTTGCTGCGGCTGCCGCTCCCCCAGCAGCAGCAGCAGCAGCAGCAGCTACCGGTAAGGAGACGCAGGCGGAGGTATGAAGCAGTGGTTGGCGAAGGAGTGCATGCAGAAGACATTGATGCAGTTGCTGAGCTTGAGGAGCAAGGGCAGCAGCAGCAGCAGCAGCAGCAGCAGCAGCAGCAGCGGCCGCATGGTGTGTCTCCCCGGCGCAGAGACAGCAGCAGCAGCAGCAGCAGCAGCAGCAACGCCGAGCGCGCCGTCACTGCTGCTGCACCTGCAGCTGCTGCACCTGCTGCTGCTGCACCTGCAGCTCCTGCACCTGCTGCTGGGGGTATAGTTGCTGCTATCCGTCGTGCTCAGGCGATGCTGCAGGAGAGCCGCACGAGAGGAGGAGGAGCAGCAGCAGCACCTGCAGCAGCAGCAGCAACTGCAGCAGCAAATACCGCACAGCAACCCCCAGCAGCAGCAGCAGCAGCAGAAAATGCTGCTCAAGACAGCAGCAGCAATGAGGGCCCCCTACGTCGCTTTTTTCGTCGTGTGCGTAGCCGGTTGAGAGGTTCTGAGGCATCAGACGCTCCTGAAGGAGCAGCAGCAGCAGCAGCAGCAGCGGAGGCAGCAGCAGCAGCAGCAGCAGCAGCAGAAGAGGAGGACGAGGACGCAGAGCCTCTAGACGACCCCACATGTCAGCAGCTGCTGCTGGCTGGGGGCTTAATTTGCTGGGCCCCGCTGCTGTGGATTGTTGGCTGTCTCCTTTTCTTTGTCACGCCCAGAGCCTACCGCAGAAGCAGAAGAGTGTGTTGCTGCTGCTGCTGCTGCTGGTGCTGCTGGTTGCGCTGCTGCTGATGCTGCTGATGCTGCTGCTGCTGGTGGTTGCACTGCGTCTGATGCTGCTGCTGATGCTACCGGTGCTGCTGCTGCTGCTCAGAATGCTCTGCTGCTTGGTTTTGCTGCTGCTGGTGTTGCTGATTGCTCAGATGCTGCTCATTGTGCTGCTGTTGCTGCTTCTGATGCTGCTGCTGCTGATTGCCCTGCTGCTGCTGTTGTTGCTGCTGCTGCTGCTTGACCTTGCCTTTCCGGCCTCTAAATGTGCGAGGCAACTTCAGCGCTAGCTAGCTAACTACCTAGCTAGCTAAATAACTGGCTAGCTAGCTAGCTAACTAACTAGCTTTCTACCAAACTCATTAGCTAGCCAGATAGCTAGCTAGCTAGCTAGCTAGCTAACTAACTAGCTAACTAGCTAGCCAACTAACGAACTAGCTAGCTAACGAACTAGCTAGCTAGCTAGCTAGCTAGCTGGTTATGTGTGCATATGTTGCGGGCTGTGTCTCAGTGGGGGTCGATGAACGTATTGTTAGTAGCGGTGTTCATTTGTTTGCTCGGAGTCAAACAAATCGAAGAAAAACCCCACAGGCAGGCACAGCGCTGCATGCAGCATTATATTATATAAAATATATATAATATATATGATATATAATATATATATAATATATATAATATATATATATGTATACGTGTCTGTTTGGCTGTATCTATATCTATTTCTCTATCTGTGTATATTTATATTTATGTCTGTATTTATATTTATGTCTGTATTTATATTTATGTCTATGTTTATATTTATAGCTATATTTATATTTATGTCTGTATTTATATTTATATTTTATATGTATATTTTTATCAATATCCATTTGCATGCATTCGTATCGGGATCTATAACCAGGAATATATCAATATAAATACATAAATAAATAAATAAATAGCATATATATATATATATATGTATGCATATGAATGAATAAACATATATATATATATATATATCTATACATATATATATACATATATATATATACATATATATATATACATATCTATACATATATATATATATACATATATATATATACGTATATATATATATATATATACATATACATATATATATGTAAGTAAATATATATTTGCACTTATTCGTATTAATTTGTATTTGCAGACCTGCCAACGCATAAATGTATATAAATATATATTTATATATTTATTTATTTATTTATTTATTTATTTATGCTATTATGCTCATATATAAGTATGAACTATATATATATATATATTTATGTTTATATATATATTGATATTTATATTTATATGCGTGTATTTATTTAAGTACGTATGCATTCATATAGGAATTCTATGTATGTATGCACTTGTATGTACACATATATATATATATATATAGATTTATTTATTCATATATAGATTTATATTCATACCTATATATATATATATATTATATAGATTTATATTCATATATATATATATGTTTATATACATATATATATTATATAGATATATATAGATATATGTTTATATATATATATAAATATACATACATATATATATATATATAAATATATATATATATATATATTATACATTACCCCTACGGCCGTTAGCATTTCTGTTTATTTTTTTGTGTTTTTGTTGTTGCAGGGCCCCTCGCCTCATCTACTACGGAAGAGACGACGTCAAG